TATAGTGTTTTATTATAAAATTGGTATGAAAGTTTTTGTGCGAATATAATTTATCTTTTTACGTAAATAATTTTGAGTAATATATAGAACTAATAGTGGTTTTCACGCAGCAGACATCCGAGTGGTATGTACCCGTTTTTTGTTATCAAAATACAATAAAGTCTTTTTGTAATGAAGTAAAACCTGACTTTTGTTTAGACCATAGGATAGAGAATTTTTTATAGATTTTATAATGCCAAACTTCTTCAAGAAAAGTAGTCTCTAAATATAAGTTTTAATGGTTTAAAGTACTGTGGGTGAGTGCGGTCGCATGCGACCGCTCGGGATTTAACGGACGCATGCAACTGCATGGGATTTTATGGGGATTGACGGGTTGATAATTTTTTATTTTTTAACTTCCTTAAATTACATTAATCATGAATAAAACAAGTTTTTTTTTACTTTGTCAACGTAAATTTTATAGGCAAAAAACTACACATGGCCGCGCTGAACAAACCATTACGTAATTTCAATCACCCGCCATTTCGAAACCGTGCGTAATTTTGTGATTTTGTGTTTATCTTCTTATTTTGTGACTCGGCTTTAAGTTTTTGGACTGTTTCTTTTATATTCGTTGAAGCATGTGCCCATGTCACAAAGGATGATTGGGCAAGTGGTAGTAAAACAAAAAAAAAATTGATTATGGATAACTTTGAAAGAGACATTAATTTTGACTGTATTATTGAAAATCAAATAATAATAAATCTAAACAACGCCAGCTCAACTAGTTATACTGAAAGTGATTACATATTTTTTTAATCTAGTTTCAATCTTAAATTTTTATAACCGTGCCTCTAGAAATAAGCAGTAACAACCAATACGAAGAAACTGATTAATCATGGGTTTTAAATTATCGGTTAGAAGACCCTCGAATAACTTATAGGCAGATAGAAGAAATCCTCCAGATTAGTGCACCAAGGACTCATAAAATTCTGCACAATATAATTGGAGTGAAAAAAATTTTACACTTTGGGTCCCCCGTTACTTAAAAGAAGAACAAAGTGAATTGGTGTAAGAAAATGTTAAAAAAGTAACGTTTAATGTAACCTGGTATTATTCAAAACAAACTGTAAATGATTACCAACTCTAAATAATCGCTACCGATTTTTTTAAGAATCGAATATTGTACGTCACCATTTTTTGGTTGGCTAAAATCCTTAGATTTGGTGAAAAAAAATTCTGCATCAAAAAATAAAAACTTTAATGTGATAAACTCAAAACCATCATCTTATATAATATTTTTGTCTCTTGTTTTGGCGGCCACAGCAGAAAAGAAAATATAAACATGAAACATCTCGCAGTGCATATAATGTTTCGGGCTATAACAAACTTAAAAAAATTATGCAATTTAAAAATTATTTATTTAAAATGTAGTAGGTACGTAAACATCATTAAAATACACTTATTAAATTCTTAATCAAAATCGGAGTCGTCATCGGAATCTTCTGAAACTACAACTGCTTTAGCAGAGGAAATTGATGGCTGACTGACATCTGCGTTTTTTGATAATTTGAAGTAATATTTCAAATAACTTCCACAGTTTTTTATTATTTCAGATGGCAGCTTGTGTGAACAGCAAGACTGTCTCAGTCGTTTTAAACCCCATCGTATATATAGTATTGATGTCATTGTTTTTAGCCGCATTTTGTTCCTGGTTTTAGTTTTAATTAAGTTCATGGAACTAAAAACGCGTTCAACCTCAGCGAAGTGGTAATGACAAAATTAAAGAGATTTCCTCGTTAAAGGGCGATTCCCCAAGTAAAGAGATAGTAGAAATAGACGAATAGGTAGGGTTATCATAACCAAAATTAAAATATACCGATTGAGTGATTATGAGTGTGAATGTGACTGACGAAATGTATGCTAAATGGCGCACATTGTTTCGTAACTTGGTAACCGCGCGCGGTGCGAAGTTTTCGTATCGTATAAAAAGAGCTCGATTGCTCTATAAGGGCTAAAACTTTAAAAATCGAGTTCACCTACTGTATTGAATGCTAGATCTAGCCCGAAAAGAGCTAAGGTGGTAACACTGGAAAGAACTGACTTTAGACAAAAAAGCGCCTGCCGCCCCCGCACCTCTACCAGTCCCCGTTCTCATCCCACCCTCGCGCCCCTACACTCCGCAGGGGAGGACTCAATTAAGCGGTTTGTCCATAATTTGTGTTGTGTTGTTAATTGTAACATACATGATTGTTAGCTGTTATTTTTATTTAATTTAAAAGTCCCGCTGGGTTTCTTGCTGGTTCTTCCTAAAACAGAGGTTTTTTTTTTCGAACCAAAGATAATGATTTCTTATATTTACGCGAACACTACACATTGATTAAACCAAACCAAATAAAAAAAATATAACCAAAGATAAATTAAAAAAGAGATTTTCAACAAGTATTATTTATAATCTATATTGAATAAAAAAGTTTCTGTTTCTGTTTCAATGCCTTATAACCTTCGCGCATGTGCAAGCAATAAGTTGACAAAGTTTTAGTGCACAATGTTGAACGGTATGGCAGCGCATAAAATACAAACAAACAAACATCAATTTTTATATATAAGAAGGTTATTAGAAAAGATATATAATTGAGTTAGTGATACAAGTGATCTTTAAGATTTTTTTTTTTACTGACTGAATTCGAAAAATCTGCAGAAGTATAAATTACGAATTGATTACATTTTTATGCAATCGTATGATATAAGTTCTCACATATTAAATAAATTTATTGTACCAAATTATTACATCACCCATAATTATTGTTTTATTTAATAATTTATAATATATATAGTCAGGCGTTTACGACACATTGAATGAATAACTTTTTCGTGTTCGTACTTCGTACACGCTATGAAAAGTCACCGTGTCTGCGGCAGAAAAGACTAATTCATCATGTATACGACAAGAATTTTGTCAGATCTAGCCATGAAAAATTTTCTTGTCTGCTTCAGACAATAAAAATTGAGACGTCTAAACTATAAGATTGTTATCGGGCCAGTCGTGCGTAGGGTAGTGCACTAGTCAAATTTGTTTGTAATGAATAGAATCATGTTAACTACGAAGCAAAAAATGATTATTGCATATTATATATATTAAAAAATGAAAAAGTACGTAACATGTCCACACTACATGTGTGGACATGTTAACAAACCTAATTATCTAAAGCAACTCACCTATTCCGCCCCTCCCTTCATCGCACCAACACAGAGCTCGTCTTGTCCAGTGCAGCAAGATTTTTTTTTCTTGTTCAGCGCCGGGTCATTATACACAGTTCGTGTGTAGAAACGACACGAATTCTTGAATAGACTCGGAGACTTTTCTTAGCATGTACAAGAGTCCTAAGACGAGGTCTAAGCCCAGGAGCATGCTTTGGTTCCTGTTACTTAAAATAAAGACTACCGTCAGGTGGTTCAACGTGCGTGGTACTTGTTGAGTGGTTTAAATTATTGGTAGTATTAATAAAGTTACTAGTATTCTTTTTTAAGCAGAGTTTATGCAAAATTTATACTCAATGTCGAAATGCCTGTATATGTTGACATACATAGATAGATATAAGTCTGACAAAGACGAAAACGTGCCGAACCACTCTTAACACAAGCTATTTAAGTTTACTTGCGTGCGTTTTACTTGTTGAGTGGTTTAAATTATTAGTAGTGGTAATAGTCACTAGTATTCTTTTTTATTGAGCTGAGTTTATGTAACATTTATGCTCAATATTGAAATGCCTGACATAGATATAAGACTGGCAAAGAAATATACGTGTCGTCTTTAACAGTTCCCTAAAGTAAAACGAAGAAATAAATTGATATGATTCAGCTGTCCGTAAGACTTTAACTTAATATTTATTTCTTTCAATGTCCCAAAAGCACATTTAATACGTGTTATTAAATGCCTTTAAACAGAAAATAGTACTTACTCGTAGCTCAAAAAATATTAATGAACAAATTTATTACACGAGAAATTTATTCCGAAATATCAGTTCAAACTCCACGAATAAATAAAACTGTCTTTTATTTAATTATAAAAAATTAAAACATAAAAATATATAGCGAAATGCTAAAAACATTCTTTTTTAATTTACTCATAAAAACCATCGGCTGGATATGAGCATCCCTTTTTTAGGGTTCCGTAGTCAACTAGGAACCCTTATACAGGGTGGTTGAAAAGAAACTCCCTATCTTTATTTGGTTATAAGATTTCAATTTTTTACATTAATTTGTCAAACCACTAAGCAAATAAAACTGTACAATGTGAGTTATAAAAAAATCTGAAAAATTCAGAATTTAATATAAGCGCCTGCATTTTCTACCACTTTTTTAAACGTCTTGGAATATCTGCAACGGACCTTTGTAGAAAGTGTTACATTTGTAAAAGTGAAAGAGATAAATTTGTTAGCACTTGCTGAATTCTTACTTCCAGTTCATCAAGAGTGCGAGGTTTTGAGCGATAGACATCATCATTTTCCCAACCCCACAGGAAAAAATCGCAAGGCGTGAGGTCCGGGCTACGAGCAGGGCATTCGTGTCACCCGCGGCGACCTAACCAACGCCCTGGGAAGCGGTTATCCAGCCACTGTCGGACATTCGATGCGAAATGTGGTGAAGCTCCATCTTGCATAAATATTATATTTTCAATGTTATCAAACGTTGACAAAGCTGGCTAAACTCTTTTTTCGAGCATGTTGAGATAGCGCTCTCCATTCATTGTTTCCCTTAAAATAAAAGGGCCAATAACTTGACTTGATGTCATACCGCACCAAACTGTTACCTTGGAACGGTTTTGCATTTTCTGAGCAGTTATTTTGGGGTCAAACTCTGCCCAATAATGATAGTTATGACAGTTAACAAAGCCCTCAACGTGAAAAATTGTTTCGTCAGTCCAGATAATGTTATCAAACAGTTCTGAACAATCTCCATGCCACCTGAGCATAATCTCTCCGTATTCCATCCGGCGATCACAAACCTCTGGAGTTATTTCATGGCAGTAATGTGGCTTCCAAGGACGAAAGCTTAAGGGCTGTCATTACAGTGTGCCGTGTAAGTCCGCTCTCACGAGCTGCTTGACATGTTGACTTGTAGGGGCTTTTTATGAACATTTCTCGAACAATTTTAATATCTTCTTCTGATCTTGGAATGTTGAAGGACGGCCGGTTCTTTTTACTATCTGCCACTGATCCAGTTTTCATCAACTTTGAATGACAGTTTTTAATGGTTTTTGGATCCAAAACAGCATGAGGTCCGTTGAAATTCCGCCACCACCTTTGCACTTCCACTATTGATTGCCACACTTCGTAGCGAGAGGCAATTTGCGCTCGCTCTTGCATTGACAATCTCCCTTGAACCATTTTATGATGTTTTACCTAATTCTCAATCTAGAAATAAAAAAAAATTATATAAGATTACATGAATTTGGCCGAACCTGGTAAAGTTTACAACCAAATAAAGATAGGGAGTTTCTTTTCAACCACCCAATAGTTTCGCCATGTCTGTCTGTCCGTCTGTCCGTCCTCGCTTAATCTCTGTGACCGTTAGCACTAGAGAGCTGAAATTTGGTACCAATATGTGTATCAATCACGCCGACAAAGTGGTAAAATAAAAATTGGAAAAAAATGTTTTATTAGGGTAGCCCCCCTATATGTAAAGTGGGAAGTGATTTTTTTTTAATTTCAACCCTAACGTGTGATATATTGTTGGAAAGGTATTTAAAAATGATTATAAAAAATAGGGGATTACTAAAATGATTTTTTGATAATGTCAATAATTTCGGAAATAATCGCTCCAAAAGTAAAAAACAATGTGTCCCCCCCCCCCTCTAACTTTTGAACCATAGGTTTAGAAAATATGAAAAAAAATCTGAAAGTAGAACTTTATAAGGACTTTCTAGGAAAATAATTTTGAACTTGGATGGAAACAACAGTACCCACTACTGGGAGCTGTTGCAGGAGCGCGGAGCGCTGCTGGAGCGCGAACATAATGGATACCCACCTTTAAACTCATAAGTGGGAACACTTATTGTGACGTACGGGAAACTACGGAACCCTACACTGAGCGTGGCCCGACACGCTCTTGGCCGGTTTTTATTTTATGGATACATGTGACTTAGGATCGTAGTCAAGCACCGCACCGGCTTATAATAAATAATAAATAAAAAACACAACGCCCAGCAAGCATATTGACGATCGGAATAGCAGACTTCTCACCCTTTTGCATGCTACTCCCTATCGCCGGTCTGATTATTTTACGTCTGACGAAAACAGGATAAAAATGGTATAATTGTCATACGTCTCCCCCACATGTGAAAGATTTAAAAAAATCAATCGAATTAAGTTAAAATAACTAGTAATACCGTGGAGTGGCGGTGTAAGAATATCCATTACCGCATATCGGTGTCGTAAAAGTCCACAGAGGGAAATAAATCAGGAGGTGAGCAGCAGCGTCTTCATAATAAAGATTAAAAATAATAATAAAATGCGGATGCCAACCCGCTTGCCACGCGTGGCAACTATGGCAAATATCACCCCTATGATGAAATCTATGTGGGAGGCCTATGATCAGGAGTGGACTTTAATAGACCTTCGCGATCGGTTGTTGGTTCTTCGAGCTATATAAATTAAATGTAGAGCGGCCCTCTACTATGTGGAATTACGCCCTGGTAAGAGATGACGAGATGATGAGATGAGAAATTCGAAGGATGCAGTAGGCAGGACCGAGCTTTGCAGTATTCCTTGTTAGAGGCCTTTGTGTAGGATTGTAATAATGATAATGAATTAACAATACTTATAAATTTCTTATTAAAAGCAAAAGAAACTCAGCAGTATCCACGATTATATGCTACTCGATCAAACGACATTGAGACAACAACTGGTAAAAAATACAACAACATTTCAACTTAGAATGTACTAAGTTGAAAAAGGTATTTCAACGCTCTATTCTCTCTGCATTTGCAAATTGAATATCGCTATCTTACGACCGATAAGAAATGGAACATTCGAGTTAACTCCAGTTTCTAAAAAAAACTTTTGATAAGATTATCTTGTGACGTTAAAATATAGTCACAAAATTCTGAAATACAAATGACTAAACATTAATTGTGATTTAGAAAATACATGAATCGGCCTATAAACTTAATAATGTAAAAACGCAAACCGTTAAAATAATTTATTATGGCGCTATATTTTTAATTAAACAATTTAGTTTATATAGTTGCCATCATGTGGTATAGGTGTCATCATCTGATTTTATAGTCCAGTCATTATAGTAAGTTCACCTCGAAATTCGAAATACGCAGCTATAAGTCTGTAAATACTTGTATATTGACAGCCTAAAAGTTGTCTCAAAACCTACATATGGTAGGGTGTACACAACCATTAAATTTTTACGGTTTTTTTTTGCGCTCTTTTTGTAAATATATCATTTCCTATGGGTTTTTTGCTATCTATATTGATTATCAATATTGTAAAATACAAAATTTTCAACAAATTTTGTTTAAATGTTTTTTATACGGTGAACCGTTTTCGAGATAGAGGGCGGAGAGCGCACGGTCACAGCATCACTTCAGGTCAACCGGTGCCTCCGGTCGAAAACGCGCCATATATAGTTGATGAACTATCGATAAATCAATGATTATAAATATTTGTCAATTTTTATTAACTATTATATTATATATAAAAGTTTAGAGGTCATACATTTACTTTACGTTTTTGATTTTTTTAATATTATATTTGCTACACTCTCGACGTAATCGAGATGATTGCACCGCTATCAATCGCAAACCAGAAAATATTTCGGCATTCACTATATTTGCCTCTTACGATAACTACGTAACGAAATAGGTGATAGATTCCCCTACGCTACCTCGCAGCAACTAAATTGGTTTCAAAAAAGTTTTTGTGGTTTGCTTTTATCCACACACTGGCTTTGCCATATAACTTTACGGTCGGAGAACTCTTCCCATAACCCATAATTAAATCTAGTTATGGCATAGTCTAACTTAAACAGTCGGTCATCGAAGGAGTCTAGACGGGGCAATCGTGAGGTGTGGTGCGGGGCGGGGCGAGACGCGGGCGAAACACTCTCTAGCGGCGAGCGGCCGTTAGTCACTCGAGCCACGGTGATATTATTTATACAGTATTGTAACTCGGCCGTATCTTTGAAATAAATGCCTACAGCCGCGCGGTACGTAAACATGCGATAGGGCTGCCTGCCTCCAGCATTTTTACATTTGCCTACTTTGTGTTTACATTTAGTTCCATGATTGTACTTAAATATACTTTTTTATATAAACAAATATATAATAGGTACTTTGTGAATTGAATAGGAAGTGTTCAATAAAAATGCGTGTCGTTTTTTGATTGGTGATTTTATTAAAAAAACCATTGAATAACAAATCGGTCTTATAAATTTGCGACCGAAAAATATTTGCGGCAAGGCTGAGTGAGACGTACGAAATGCTTTATTATTAAAATTTTAACTATAAAAGACCCGCATTCTAATATAAATCTTAATTAAAAATTGTTTTGGGAAACATGGACAAGGTGGAGTAAAGGAATATCTTTTACTTGGTTATAGATACCTGCAGCTACTTTACAATTTATATGTTTGGTTTTAAATGAAGTTTGGATTTATTATTTTTTATTTCTATTCTATTATTTATTTCCCCCATTTATATATATATATATATTCCACAAAATCATCACTGCGGCAATCACGACTGTCTGAGCCGAGCGCATGCCGAGATTGAGGCGCGTAGGCTTAGTTCTGGCTTCGTCCGTTTGTATGGAGTTGGAATACTGTATAGATAAAATTACCATGCTCGAGCTGTCTGTTAGACTTGCCATACAAATAAATTAAAATGTCACACTACCTGTGCGTTACAAAGTGTGGGTCGTGCTCATTTAAAGATAAGGAATTAAAGTAATTATAACCCATTTATATTGTTACTGAACACTAATTGCCTGATTAAGTTATTCAATTTGTTTCAACGTGAAATTAAATAAAATCAACTTTTAAAAAAAATATTAAACCTCGTTGACAACCATAGCTATATATTGTTAATGTCGGCTTTTCCGGCATTAGGCTGTGGTTATGGGTTATGGGATCCAATCGTTCACAAGAGTTTTCATCATAATCCTCAGCCCCAGAAATTCTTAACCGATATTTGATGAATTTGGCCACCTCAACTGGTTCACCATCGTCTGGAATGTGTGCTCGTCTGCCTACTAAAAATACGAAGCCTATAAATCAAACTACGGACAAACCCAAACCCATAATTATAATTCACATTTAATTAAAAGTTCAGTGTCAAGATTTCATTTAACGAAATAAGTAAATTATTCAAGTCTAGCGCAAGAATTCGTTTATAATAGGTCGGAGTTTATATTGTAGTATACTTGTTTAAGCCTCGCCAATCCTGGTGCTTATTTCACTTTACTTGGTGCAGGTTTAACTTTGCGAAAATTCAAGTTCAATTTAGTTAGAGCGAAATCAATTAACGCAGCAAGCTGAAATTACCGAGTGGAGGCTTCTAACTGGCAAACGCGACTCGGTCTTCTATAACCACCTAATAAATAATACACGCAGGACATTAATGTATGTATGTAGGTTTTTGTGATACAAAGTAATTTATTATTTACAAAGAATTATATATATATATATATATATATATATATATATATATATATATATATATGTGTGTGTGTGTGTGTATGTGTGTGTGTGTGTGTGTGTGTGTGTGTGTGTGTGTTAGGACTGTATTAACAGTGAACACCAAGAGAATCGAAATATGAAATAATCGAAAAATATGACCAATTTTAGAATTTTGCCGTACCCGAAATTAGAAAGATTCTGTTTTAAATGATTCGTTCTGAATAAAAGATCGTTGTTTGCAAAGATCCTACATGAAACTAAAAATATAATTGGATTAATTTCACCAGATTGACTGACGACGGTCTATACTATCTTTCTCAATATTCATTGGTGCGTTTGAACATGATCGTGTAACTTTTTATAAACTTGACCAATTTAGGTCATACTCATACGATTTTTTTTATTGTGAGGTTGGCTCAGATCCAATAGGTTGCTCTGTTATCACTAATTCTATATTTATAAACCAAAGAAAATTACAATTCTTGGACCTGATAGATAGCGCCGTGATTTAGTTGTTAATAAATAACAATGGCCACTCTCCTAACATGCTTGGACTAGCAAAATCTAATATTAGGTCTATACAAACAACTTAACGTATTGTTTTTTCAATATTTTAGTAGTACTGAACCAGGATTAAACAAACTGTCTGAACACTTGCGATTCTCAAACAGAATCCATT